GAGAGAGAGAGAGAGAGAGAGAGAGAGAGAGAGAGAGAGAGAGAGAGAGAGAGAGAGCGAGAGAGAGAGAGAGAGGAAGATAGCGCTGGCAGGGAGAAGGCAGCCATAGCTGCACCAGTGCAAAGTGTTAGTAGATTAGTAGTAGACTTCAGGACGTTTAGTAGGCATATCAGTGGGTGTATTCAGAATAGATCCTTGAGTAGAGGATAGCGAGTGTGCACGCATGTAGGGAGAGAAGACACAGCGAGCTAGGAAGAACACCAGCAAGGAGAAGAGATACATAAGAGGGAAGAGCAGTGGGGAAGAGATACTTACCTGAGAGGTTATGCTGGTTACTGGTTACCTTTGGCATGCCCCGATGAACGCTGGTGACTTGAACTCTTATTGCCCTTCTAATACCTTGTTGAAAGTCATAAGCTGCACTACCTGGTCTTATTCTCTCTCTGGTCTCAAGTATGAACTTCATATGTGCGCTCACTGGTGTTGAACAAGAGGTTCATTGCAAACTGGTATCGGAGCAGTTGCTCTCTGCATCCACTGGATATTGCTGGCAATGATTAAGGCCGGCCAGGAGGGAGATAAGAGAGTGAGTTGAGTGAGGAGAAGACTGACGAAGGGGGTAGAGAAGTAGGCCGAGGAAGAAGGGGCCCGTTGAGTGGTGCTTAGTACCTGATTGCTGCTGCGTTGGAGCGTTGGAGCGGTCGTGGAGCTTCATCAACGGAACGTTCATTGGAGTGAAGTGCATTCCCTTATTAAACCTGTATTGCTGCTGATCTGTCTTGGTGTTTGGTACCTTCCTCATCCTATTGTCGCTGCTGCTGGGCTGGTCCAAATCTTGCGACATAGTTGAGTCTAGCAACTAGTCCACTCGTGAAAAAAGAAAAAGAAGGTATATGGAAGTCAGCAACAGTCAGACCCACTCGAGAGCTAGTGAATAGTAGTTGGGGTTAGACCTAAGTGGTGAGGAGGTGGAGCATAGGTACCTGTGCCTTTGACCACCATGGACAATTATCCCATGTTCACACTCCTGTCCCTGCCTGTGTTATGGGGACCCCTACTTCGATTATTCTTTCCTCTTGGGTTGCAGTGAACACTCTTCTCTCATATGTTACATACTTCAATGAGTATGGGCAGAACCAAAGATCAACCAATATAGGATGAGCATTTATGCAGCGGAAGTCTGATAACGAACTGACTCACAT